AGTGTAAGAGAGAGAAATGAGCTGAGCAACTAGAAAGTAGTACGAGGAAAATTGAGCGCGGGGCTGGTGGTGGCTCAACGCTTGTAGTCCCTGCTACTCGGGAGGAGCCGAGGCAGGAGGATCGCTCAAGGTCGAGTGTGGAGGCGGGCTGAGCAAGGGAGAGACCTCGTCTCTACTAAATAGAAGAAATGAGCTGAAAACTAAAGATTATAGAAAAAAAAAAGATGAGCCGCGGTGGGTGCGCGATGCCTGTAGTCCCGAGCGCTACTCGGAAGGGAGCCGAGGCGGGGATGCTCGAGTGAGAATTTTGAGCCAGCTGAGCAAGCAGACCCCGTCCTACTAAAAAAGATATAGCGATCCTCCCGCCTCGGCCTCCCTCCCGAGTTGCTGGGACTCCAGGCATGCGCCACCACGCCCGGCCGGCCTTTCTGATGTCTGCAAAGCTGCCGGGTCTCCCCCGAGAAACCAGCCCCTTGGCGGGACGTCTGAGCATCTGCGCCGTCAAAGCCCGACCCCGAAAACCATCCTTAGCAACGGTTGCCATGGTTACGCAGCACAAAGTCTGCACGACAACCCGTGTGCGTGTGGTCGCCAAGGAGCGGGACAGACGCCAAGCAGCCCTTCCCGTCCGCCCCGTCCTGAGAGCTCTGGGGGGGGGCTCGACGGGTAGAGGTCGGTTCTAGAAGGTTCTAAAGGGGAAATAGAGTCTCCAGACGCTGGGGATGGGATCCGGGGTCCGGAGAGGGAGGAGGGACGTTCCAGTAAGTAGACGGCTTCCCTCTGTCGGAATCCGTGGGGACGGTTGGACCGTGCTTAAAAAAAAAAAATGACACGTCCACGGTGGCTCGCGACTGTCATCCCGGCACTCTGGGAGGCCGAGGAGGGAGGATTGCTGGAGGTCGGGAGTTGGAGGCCAGCCTGAGCGAGAGCGAGACCCCGTCTCTACTAAAAATATAGAAAGAAATTAATTGGCCAACTAATATATATATATACATAGATTAGCCAGGCATGGTGGCTCACGTCTGTCGTGCCATCCACTCGGGAGGCTGAGGAGGGAGGATCGCTCGAGGTCAGGAGTTCGAGGCCAGCCTGAGCAAGAGCGAGACCCCGTCTCTACTATAAAATAAATTAATTGGCCAACTAATATATATATATAGAAAAAATTAGCCGGGCGTGGTGGCACATGCCTGTAGTCCCGGCTACTCGGGAGGGAGGCTGTGCATATATTTTATTTTTATTTTTTTTTGGAGACAGAGTCTGGCTCTGTCGCCCGGGCTGGAGTGAGCGCCGTGGCGTCAGCCTCGCTCACAGCGGCCTCCACCTCCTGGCCTCCAGCGATGCATTTATTCTCAACACTGCACAATTCGTAGGAGAGACTCACACCCACCTTCACTTTTCCTTCTTCCAGTTGAGCCTGGCGAAATCTCGCTAAGGCCGTCCTGCCGGGGACAGAAAACACTCCGTTAGACGCTGATCACGGATTTCTGGTCGCCCCCGAGTTC